GATCTAATTAAACAAAATTCAACAATTTGATCAAATAAAACTGAAGCTGCCAAACATCACGTGCAAAGATAAAATGAATAGCGACAGGACAAAATTTATAAACTTCCGTTTATTGAAAATAAAAAGATTATATAATCAATAAAATTCATTTTATTTTTGAAGCAGTTAAATAATATATCACACAGCTTCAGTCTTGAATGGTTGAATAAAGAGTGAAGGATAAAAACTTGCATTAAGCACAAAGTGGATCCAAACTTTTTAAGTCGGTTCGGAAGTAATTCAATAATAAAGTACGTAAAGGAGAGATGTTTCGAAGAAATGTGGAGCGAAAAATATATAAGAAGTTAACTACACTCTACGTAATCCGATTATGTTGAGGTATCGACCTGAGGTTCTTCAACCCTGTGTGAAAAAGAAATACAAATAAATAAATAAAGGAAAATAAAAACGTGTACGAAGCCAAAAAACGTTCCGATCTATAATCGCACAGATCTCACCTTCATTCATAATAAATACAGAAAAAAAGCAACATTATGTTTGCGAATGCATGGGAATACTTGATTTATACTTATTTCATTTACAACTATCGTAACGAAAAAAATATATGCAAAGGTTCATTCACATTATTTCATATAATGAAAATTCAATTTAATATAATCATGGAAATTATTATAAATAAAGGAAGTTTATATATTTATTATGTATTATCTAATCACGCAAAATAAATAATGCAGAACAAAGAATGATTGTATTTTAAAAACAGCAATGTTACTTGATTATTACATATTAATTATTTAGAAGATAAAAGTATAATTATTATAAAATATTGAGTAGGTTATTTAAATGTGGGAACACGTTTGCTGTTTTATATACATTAATTCTTATAATAATAGATGTAACTTTTTAATGGGTTCGTGCGGCTTGCGTAATGCAAGAACAATAAGAATTCAGAGCAGTGTATTAATAATAATAATGATGCAGTTGCGAAAAAGCTGTTCATTTTCAATGGATATATATAGAGATCCTTCAACGATATTAAAGTAATGCTTAAATAATGGCTTAAATACATCGGAATGCTTAAATAATGACTAGAAACTAATCTATAAACACTGCTTCAATTCATAACAATATTCAGTAGCACGTATAGAAAGTTAATCATGTAAATTGAACGGAGTGAAGTAAAGGAACACCGCATATCAATTTATTAAATGAATTATGTATTCAGTTCAGTTTTCCAATTACCGAAAAATAAGAGAAGAGAAAAATGAAAGAATAGAAAATGAATATCAGAATCGGGGGTAAATGAAATTAGACGGTTCGTTAAGCTGGTATCAAAAATATGATACGCGAAATTAATTCGGTGCCGCTGATGATGAATACCGGATTGGGTTTAACGACCTGGAACAAACTTCGGAATCATCCCTTCTGGTGGTTGTTCTGCTGCTGCTGCTGCTGCGGCGCGGGGGTGGATCTAGTAGTGGCCATCGCGGGGATAAAGCCTCTATTGATTTTCCGAACGCGGTCGTTCCTCCGGCTCGTGCTAATCCTATGATGCTCTGTCTCCAATAGGAAAAGCACACTAGAACCTCACCATCGACCATCACCATGCAGCAGCAGTAGCAAGGCATGCATACATACATATGCATAGAAGAATGAGCACGTGCTGAGAATAAAGAAAAAGACTGCAATCTTAGAGTCGAGCTGCAAAACGGACGTATATAACCTGGCTAACTTTAAACGTGAACTCACCTCTTCGCTGCAAACGATCGTTTTCTTTAGTTTTTCGCTCTTTTCGTGGCTTTTGTTAATGCAAATGGAATTTCATCTATTCTGACTCAGGGAAGTGAACACAATTACGTCTGTTCTTTTTCCATTGCCGTTTGTTTTGTAACATTCACGTTATTATCGAATAATGTATTTTTATATCATGACTCGATTGTTGCAAGAATACAAGGAAATAATCACATTCTCAAATTTATCATTAATAAAAAACCATTTTTATATTTCATAGATTATTTCAAATCAAAGCATTACAAAAGCTATTGATAAACTTCATATGTGACTAAGAAATTATCAAAGAGTCATCTTTGCATAATTGTTCATATAACATTCAAAGTCATTTCTGTAAACTTGATGAAATACTTCCACTGTCTTCAATATTTGCAAAAAAAACTTTCAAATAAAGATCACACCTAGTTTCAATCAATAATACATCTAGTTTCATAAAATCTAAAATTCTCATTTAAATATATTTGTTTTTTCAGTGTTTACTTAATTTTATTATTTGTAAAAAGATTAAATACTAAATATAATACATATTTAGTTTTATTATATATATTTTAATATATTAATAGCAGACAAAACAATGATTCTCGATTAATTACTTCTCCCTCTTCAACTTTATAAAGGTAATTCATATACACTAATCAAAAAATGAATAATATAGACAAACGTTTTAAGGATTTTCTAAAACATCAACACTTTAAAAATAAACATAATTTGTTTAAATCATGTGTACATAATAATAATAAATGATAAAAAAAACTAGATTAAAATCGCATGATGCGTAAATACAAAGCAATTACATTTCGTAATTGCTACATTAAATACTTGAGGGTAACGCACAACATTGGTAAAAGTTTGTATGGATTTAAGCCCAGCAGCGATAACATGTTTCAAGAGCAGACAAAGCCCTGGAGCCCAGAAGTATACGAAGGGTCCCAAGACCTTTGTGCAAATACGTTCATTCGGAAAGCGTTCCGTATTGATGTCTATTCAAAAAGTAGAGGGAGTTTCGTTGCCTATGGTCCTTTTGGTAATGATTACTTAGGGGAAGTTGGCATATATATATATATGTTCAAAGACCAAACCTTTTCTTCGGTTCGGTTATTCAAGGAATATAGCATTACAAATGAAATAAGAGCATCACAATAACTTATATAAATTTCAAATATTGCATACAAAAAAAATTAAATTATTTACATGTTACAGATTTATTATTTTCGGTTATAATGTGTTTTAATTTAATAATTTCAATATTTAACGAAATTCGGTAATCACAATGATCAATATTGAAAACCGTACGTGCATAAAATTCGTATTTTAATACACGGTTTATGAAATTTCAAATATTTTATGCAACATCGAACATTTTAAATTCGATTGAGCGAATGTGCGCCTCATTGAAAGTCATGACTGTCTATGCCTCTGAGGCTAATATATTTCAAGTTCCCCGGAGCATGAATTCAATTGCTTCTCCTCATCTAGTCAGGTCGTTACAACTCTTAGATGCAATATTCCACTGCACTATGATTTAGCTTTGATGATACGTAATATTCGGTAATAGAAATTCTAATACTCAAAGATCTGACGGCAGCTTCATTCAAATTATTAAAGATCAATATTAATTCCAAGAAATTCAATATATCTATTTACAAGTTGATTATTTAATAGGTAATATGAGAAATAACGTAATTGTATTTTTCATGTTTTTTAAATAAATTATCGCAATGTTATCTAAATAACTCATAGTAGGAGATTATAATATGAATTGTAGCAAACAATCAAAAGTAAATTAACGTTTATACTGTATATTTGCTTAAATATGCTCAAGGTAACAAACTTAATCTAAATTAATAGAGATAACGACCACAAGCAAATAGGTTAATTAAATATGCTCAGCTTGTTTAACGTTATTCTATCGTAAAATTATAATTAATTATATTAATATATTATTTTAAATTACATTCAAATTTAAAAAGGCCAAGGACAAGAACAAATTCATTAATTAATTGCATATAATTATCAATAATAATCACTTTCCTTAATATTGAATGAATGAAACCAATTTATTTCAAGTAATATTTACAATTTGGTAAAGCGAACTATCATATACAAATAAATTAAGACTAACTGGAAATTTATTTTTACCATCTTAAAACTCGAAAGTTTCTACAAGAAATGGTTAATATATAATATCATTATAAAACTCATTTAGATTCATTGTGAAAAATTCAATGGAAAAGACAGCTTTTATCAAAGATAAAGATGAAAGAAAAATCATTAGAGCACCACGAACAAAATGTCCTCCTAATAGAAGGACGTTAAGGAAAGAAAAAGTATCATATATCAACAAGATATGATTTAATGTTATACATCCATTTTATTAGAAACCCCTTCATAGCAACTGAATATAATAACCTAAAGATTTTACTAATTTCAGGTATTTTTTACAATATAAAATAAAATATTTTGTGTTTCAATTCAATTAAAATAAATATCTCAGTTTCAAGTAACTAATTTTAATTATTTTTTAATGATAGATATTATATATTAAATGTGTTATGTGAATAAAGATGTGTAATAATTTATTGAATAATCATGATTTATCATAGATTTTGTAAGTAATTGCATTATCTGAGATGCTAATAATAAAATGAAAAAGTGTAACGCGTTAAAGCTACTAACATAATTTTATTTCACACTTTTCCTATCTGCTAGGAAATAAAAGTTAAAAAGGTAATAAAAGAAATAATATTGTTAGTAAAGGACTTTAAATAAAACAGCGAATGCTTCTTTGAGATTCTGCAAGAAGCACTCACAGAAAGAAGCAGACATTAAATTGAAGTATATATTTTTTGTGTTGGAAATCGCAGGAAATGGACGCACCTCAGGGCGAGAAAATGAAATTTCCTCGCCGTGCTCAATGCATAATTCAATCCATCCCATTTAACTTTTATGCTACCAATTTCATTGTCCGATGCACTCTACTCGCTCTTTGCACGTTACCGACTGTTCTGAAGTAGCTCAGATCGTAATCATCGCAATGATGAGACTCACAATAAAATTGTATGCTTGTATGCATCTTTTTTTAAGTTGCACATTACTTCCACCTTTTGCAACTCTACGATTTCCAAACTTTTGCTCTCTTTTCCGTTTGTATTTTTATTTTGTATTCGTTCGGAGACATATTCTAACTTTTGATTTGTGCCTTTTTGCAGGAACTAAAGGAGAGCTTCAACTATGGCCTCTTCTGCCCTCCGGAGAACGGAAGAGCCGGAAAGTTCTTGGACGAGGAGAGACGTTTGGGGGATTACCCTTTCAACGGTCCCGTGGGATATTTAGAGGTGAGAATGGTTCTTGTGAATTTCATCGGACTTCGAGGAATTTCGTTTACAATTGTAATTTCCGATACACATTGTTTCTGATTCGTTCCAAATGCGATTCTAATCCCTCCGGCAATCGAGCATGGCTCGTATCGATCATACTTAAATATGTAATTGCCGTCGAGTCCTTGAGATTACCGCCGTAATTGCTATTGATTTTTATTTGTTTAAAGTTTCTTTTCGTAACATTGTTTTATTCATTACTATTTTTTGCGTCGCTTATCTCCTCGATCAATCGTCCTAGCAGTTAGAAAAATATACACGGTAAATTGACTTTCCCGTTTCTAGAGCGCATTCCTTTTAGAAGGAAGTGTAGTCTATCTATTTTTGATGCCTCCAGCCCATTGATAAAACAATGATACGTTTCGTCGTTTTGTCGACACTTTACTAAATCGATTAAGAGATTACAGAATGACTTACGATAATAAAATAGTAACTTTATATTTTTTTTATTTCTCCTACTTCGTCTACAGCTTATTTAATATATATCTAAATACAAAATTCATCTTCTTCAAAAATGTTTCACCTGTTATACTAAAATATAATTATTAACATAAGTGAATAAATCCACAATAATTCATTTTTTCATTAATATTCAGATTGCCTATAGAGTTAGACTTTGATCGCGGAATTTTATTATCTATGTATTGATTCTACAACGAAAATGTTTTTAAAAAATGTGTTTGATTACCAAAGTTGCAAAAGGATAAAGCGAAAACAAAACAGATAACTATCTACATTTTTGTTTGTAATCAATCATAATTAATAGTTTCTCAATTATTAGACCACTTTATCTAAATAAAGGCTTTTAATGATGATTTTAAAGTGAAATGCTTAACGAAATATTAATCTAGAAAATAATAATCGCATATGTCATCACTAAAGCATGTAATATTTTTGAGAAGCGAATGCATTTAAAATCTAAGGTGCGTCAAGCCATTATAATTTCTAGGAATGTTTTCTCAAACCAAAGTGAATTATCGTAATCGCGATTCTATTTCAATAGATTTCATTGAGTCAAGCAATAAACATGTCTTAAATTAGGTGTACTTTAGATTTACGTTATGTAATCTTATGATCAATTAAAAAAATATATTGAAATTTATATTTAATGTGGTAAAGACTCTAAGTACATTGAATCTAAACTGTTTCAAAATACAATACAAGTATTTAATAGAATATTATAACTTAAAAAAATATTAGTATTATGATAGTTAAGTTTTTAAAAAGTAACTGTCTTTGAACTAACATAATTTCCATTTGGATATGCTTGCGCCATCTATTGGTTACATCTTCAATCATCAGGAAGAGAAATAAGAAAAGGACGAAACTTTTATTAAAACAAATTGAACTGATTAGTAAAAGGAAGAATTAATATTTATAGTTTACAAAAATATAAATTGGGCGAAGAGACTGAGGTCAACACCCCTTGATATATGTAAACAATAAATTTAACAATAATATAACATGGAATTGAGAATAATATTCACTTGATACTATATAAATAAAGTATTAATTTCAATAGTATATATGTTTAATTCATATTTTAATAGAATAATAAACAGTTATTACGAATATGGCCAATGGTGCTATTTCATTTACATGAATCATATACAAAGTAGAACAGTGAAATTATTTTCGCATTATCGCTATTACTGAACTGAATACTTAACGATGATGCAATACAGACCTTTTTTAGTTACAGAATAATAAAATTGTGCAGAAGTCGAGTACCTAATCTAATCGTACAATTCGCAAGATATTTGTAATGCATAACACTTCAAATTAGTTTGTTTGAATCATCCACGTTTTAGTCATTACTTTATATTATCATTGAATTGCATTATGTTATGGTTTATTTATCTTTCGATAATTGCTATTTATTTATGTATATGTGTGTTATCATTTTGGTGGAAACCAATAATTAATACTTATTTATTAATACCTTTCTGTATAAACTTTGAGCTGATCTTCTCTCTTTTTTTTCTTGTTGTTTTTTATTTGCCTTACTTTTAATCTATTTAATACTTTATCGGATTTTCTCTTCTACATGTCTAGTACACTTTTTAACTTTGAGACTGTATTGTGACAACGCGGCATCGCCGTCACTCAATCCAACAATGTTTATAAATATTTAATGTTTTGTTTAGCTGAAGTATAAGCGGCGGGTGTACAAAATGCTGAGTTTGGACGAGAAGCAATTGAAGAGTTTACACACTAGAGCGAACCTCAGACGGTTCCTCGATTACGTGACCAATGGGCAGGTCGAGAAGATCACGAAGATGTGCTCGAAGGGCTTAGATCCGAATTTTCACTGCCAGGAATCTGGAGGTAAACAATTCATTTAATTTATTTTTATAGTAACTGTAGTTTCAGTAGTGATATTACATAATTTATGTAATACCACTATTTAAGTGTTGGGTTATAAGGGCATTTTCCTGTCCACGAGTATATTATTATCGAAGTTATCAATAGTTTTTACAAAATGACAATATGAACCGTGGTTGTGTTAATTTATAAGGTAATATGGTATTATTGATAATTTTGTAGAGACACCACTGACGATTGCGACTGGGGTCAAGAAACCTGGAAAAGTGTTGATAGCGCTTGTTAATGGTGGAGCTCTTCTGGACTACAGGACCAGAGATGGGACGACGGCGATGCACAGAGCAGTGGAGAGCAAAAACTTGGAGGCGATGAAAACATTATTGGAATTGGGTGCATCGCCTAATTACAAGGATAGCAAGAGCATCACGCCACTCTACCTCACCGTCACGCACAACGTTGAGCCGATCTTTGCGGAAATCCTGCTTCACGACCACGCAACTATAGGCGCCCAAGATCTCCAAGGATGGCATGAAGTGCATCAAGTAATGTCTTAAACATATCCATCACTGTGCAATGTTTATTATTCAAAATTCGATTGATTTTAGGCATGTAGAACAGGATTATTTCAGCACTTGGAGCATCTTCTATTCTACGGTGCTAATATGAACGCGAGGAACGCATCTGGAAACACACCTCTGCATATTTGCGCAGTTTTCAATCAAGAATCCTGTGCGCGACAGCTGCTGTTCCGGGGTGCCGAAAGGCAGGCCCTCAACTACGCCAATCAATCACCCTACCAGGTGGCTGTGATCGCTGGAAACATGGAATTGGCGGAAATCATACAGACCTATAAACAGGAGGATGTCGGTAAGTGCTTGCATCTTGTCCTGTTCCATTTACTGTTCTTAATCTGGCTGGAATGAAGCATGTTTGTTTTTGATGGGTTTAAAATCACCCATGACTGAATCTCTTTGTTGATCTGTTTGTACTTTGATTGCTTTAAGTTTTATGAAAGATGAAAAAATAGTTTTAAGTCAGTATAGTAGTAGTAAGTCAGAAGTGAGTCCCAGGTATTGTGCCTACTGTTATTTTATTTTCTTTTATATTGTTGTTGTTTGTTGATTGATGTAAAAGTAGATATTTGCGGCTTCCTTTAATTTCTCAACAAGAAAAAAGATGAACGGAACCGAAAAGGTTTTCGTTCCCAGAATGAAAGAAAATCTAATAATACAGACGAAAAGGCGAAAGCAGAATATTATATAATATATTTCGGCTTCTCCAATTCGTACGTAAACCAAAAAACCAAACAAATTTCAGTTGTGTACCGCGGACCGCCGACGTACAATCCAAAAAGACGATCAGCCATTGGCTGGCTGAGCCGAGCTCCGTCCATTGGTTGCCTTGCCCTGCCCCCATCCCCTTGTCCGAGCGACCGCTCTTCCGCCCCCTACAGCTCGGCCAGCTCAAGCATGAGCGATGCCAGTCACATGCCCCACGGCAATGAAACAGACGATGCCAGCATCATCACAGGTGCGTAACCAACACATTACAACACCATTAACAATTATACCCATAATCATTATCATCATTGATTGATTGATTGATGTGATATGTACCACCAACAAATTGGCATGCAAACTACAACAGTGTTCCATAACTGCTATGCCTATAGTCATTATTTTGTTTGTCGTTCTTGTTACCTTAATAATTTTGATTGTCACTAGTTTATTAAAAAAGAGGCGGAGCGCACGCCGGGAGCAGAAGATAAGTGGCTACGTATGATCCTCCTACTATGTTTGCATTTCGAATTCGGCAATATTCAAAATATTTTCCAGCACTTTGCATGCTTCTTATATTATTCCATTGTATCATCCATTTTACACCGAATGTTGCAGATAAGAGCCTCGTCGACAGCGACATCATCAGCGACAGTTCAGGAGTTGGTACAGCCAATTCTGATACGACAATAGGAAGTATCTCATTACCAGGAACGACCGTAGTTTGCATCGAATCGTTTACTGCTCACGAAGAAGGACAAATCAGTATTAGAGAAGGAGACATTATCGAAGTCACCGGTGCTACGGACGATGGTTATTTGGAAGGCACCTTGAAGCCGGGTGGCGGAAGAAATGGTCTTTTCCCGGCGAATTGCGTACAAGAAGTAAGATTGAGGCATCACAACATACAGGCGCCAATGATGGTGGCCAGAGATAGGAACTCAACGCAACCGCGTATCGAAACTACCAGCAGTCGGGTTTTGGGCCGAAGGGAAAGCACCTCGAAACATTTCGCTACAGCTCCAAGACTTAAAAAATCGTAAATCTTGAATAATAATCGAGAAAGCTTAATCGATATTCATTTAATCTGTTTTTAGGTACTCGGTGGCTTCTGCTGAGCCTAGAACCGTTGTTCTGCACAGGGGTCGCAAAGGTTTCGGATTCATCCTCAGAGGAGCTAAAGCTACATCTCCGTTGATGGAATTAACACCTTCCGATAAATGTCCAGGTCTTCAGTATCTTGATGATGTTGATCCTGGAGGTGTGGCAGACATAGCAGGTTTGAGAAAGGGAGATTTCCTACTGGAAATCAATAAGGAAGACGTGTCTTCGGCATCGCACGAGCACGTTGTTGATTTGATCAGGAAATCGGGTGACCTAGTATCGATGACCGTGGTCAGTTTGGGTGGTACGAGTGGGCCTGGAACATTGCCTAGCAGTAAAAGCACCATTCTGCAGAGCGGAAATACAGATGTACCTTTGAGCAGGCAGTACGCAACGTTACCGAGGAAACTAGGAAACAGTACCAATACAGGTACTTTGGGTAGAAGCCAGGCGCCTCTGCCTCCCAGAAGGGATCCGAAGACGACGCTGAGTGTGGGAAGGGCGCGAGCCAAGAGCATGGTTGCTGGGCTCGAAGCTGAGAAAGAAGAGACTGATGATATTACAAAATCGAGCTCTGCCGAGTCTATCCATCAAGGTACGGGCAATTCTACCCCGGTTCAGCCTAGAACCGCATCAATCCGACAGCGGCCTACATCCAGTCGAATAACGTCTGCTGAATTAGAGGAACTCTTCCAAAGACAGAGAGGCGATGATAACAGGCAGCCTTCGTTGATGAGCAGTTCCAATTTCCAAAGTGGCCATAATACCATTAGTTCTCCAGCAAAAGGTACATCCATCAATTGGTATTGATTCATATTGAATATTACTATTTTTAGGACGTGTATACGCAAGTGTATCTGAAATGAAGAGGTGCAAGGGAAAACCGACAAAGGTACGCTTCAACAGTTCTAATGTCGGTGAACTTCATCGGGATTTCCATTCCACTCCGGATTTGGCTGCGGCCCTAGCTGCCGCCTCCACTCTTCCTACCAAATCTCACAGAAGTCAAGAAGACGTTACCATCCTCTTAGGAAATAGATCTTCGCCTCCTAATCATCCACCACCGCCGCCGCCGACCGGCCAAGTTATTAAAGTCGACGTCCGCAACTCCACGGACTGTGACAATCTGAATAGCAAGGAGAATGGCGAGGAACCTATTGTTTCCTCTTTCAGACCAACGGCGACGGCTAAATTATATGCTTCGCCGGAAGATGTTAAGACAGTCGGCTACAGATCACGATCTCTTCCTTCGCACACTGGTCGCACCGTGCGAAAATCCCACAGTATGCGCACCAGTTCCACTTTCAAACCGAGTAGTACAACAGCCGCCGTCATTCCAAATGCACCGCCGGCTCTCAATCCTTACGCTCAGCCGATAAATCGCGCCTCGCGTTCTCATTCAATAACTGGATCGAATAAAGACCGGAAAAAGCGAAATTCCACACCCGGTATCGAAACTCCTCCAATTCCGGAACCTGACTACAGTTGCAGTGAATCCGACAGCGAGGATGAGAAGAAGCACGGAAGATTAGGTGCAGTTCAATTACACCCTATAGAAAACAGTGGAAATAGTAATGCCAGGTAAGATTCGCTTCGATCAACATCTTGTTTCTTGATGACAATTGATTCGGGAATTTGCAGTGGAAGCAGCTCAGGCAGTAGCTCCATTCCGCATAGTTTTAGTGTGGACGAAATACAGAAAGGCAGGTCTCAACTGAAATCTTCCAAATCTTATCCGGACGATTTCTTAAAGAAGCAGGCTGCAGCTTTAGAGGACGGTGACAACAGCTCATCTGGAGTCAGCTCTGACCAGGAAGTTCCAGCGCCTAGCCATAACCAGGAATTCGCAGAACCACGCATAGCTGCTGAAGTCAACAGTCTTACCTTACCTAGCACCAAGGGCCAACGGCAATCTATAGGTTAGATTATTACGTTATTCAATAAACTTTCTACTTTGTCCAACTATTGTTATAATTTCTATTAAGTTTTTTTTCTATCTTCAATTTAAATAATTCTCACATCCATTCTTTTAGAAACTTCAAATAACTATATTGTAAAGAATAATCACACGTTTAATAAATAACCTTTCACTTTAATAATTATATTTTTAATGGGAATTTAACGGTTTTTTATAAATGCGAATTCATATACCTTTATCTGATTTAAATAATTTGCAAATGAATATGTAAGCACATAGAATTTGACCATTAGACCATTAGAAATTTATCTAAACTATTTTTTTTTAAATTAAAATTGACCAAAAATGCTAAAAATATGAAATTGCTTTTTTAGGTACTATGTATAGACATGCCATGTCTTTGGCGCAATTACCACCGCCGTTGGAGGCGGATTCCGACGAAAAGGAGGAATTCTGTTTACCACCACCTCCAGAGTTTACTGGAGAAAACGGAGCACCACAGCAAGAGACTCCGGAGGCGGTACTGGCACCGCCGCCGCAGTTCAGCGACGTGCGGCACGGCGGTACCGGAGGAACTCGCGTCCGCATCGTCGGCGCCGTCCCCAAGCTGAATCCTTCAGCGAAGGTGAAGCACGGGCGCCTCCACAGCCAATGAATACTCAACTAAATATAGGAAGCATCACTAAACAAAATACATAATAAATAAATACATAACTTGGAGAACTTTAGTCAATTTGATGGCGCCAACGCACAAGTTTCCGTTTCCTTTGAGTTATATAATAAATTTATGAACAAATAGAAGGAATTGATTAATCAACAACATCACGCACGCCATCAACATTTGTCTACACCATATAGTTTCTTCCATATCTCATCCGCAGTTTTGTACTCTAGGCCCTTTAGTCTCTCAATGTTTGAACTGCGAGGAAATCATTGCACTTTGTAAAAGTCCGTCATTCCTTAGATTAATTAATTACAATCATCCTGCCAAATGTTACGAATATTATTAGGAACGTATTACTATTATTATTATTAGTATTCTAATTATACAATATTATAATTATTATTATTATTATGGTAATTACTATAAAGGAGAGTTGTAAGAGATTGAAAGTTTGTGAGAAAGAAAGGAAGAGAGTTCGGTGAGTGTAATATATATTTGACTATAATGTGTTTATTCCTCTTTTAAATTATTATATTTTTCTATGCGAATTTTTTTATTGAAAATGCCAAAGCTCCTGTGAATATGATTTGAGGAGTTCAATTTTGCGATTGTTTGCGGAATATGCTCAATTTCAAGGGGGGAAAATATACAAATAGAAATTTCGATGTTGCAAATGAATGCCTAAAATGTTTGTCTTGTTTATTTTCTGTATATATGATTTAAAGGGATCGATTAGTAAGGTTTGGTTTTGGGGTTTCAGACACGGTTCTTGTACAAACTTCCCACAAATTTTGTACAACAACCGTGTCGCCTGTTCTGTTTAAACTACGCTCGTTTAGTTTCGGCAGAAAACATGTTTCCTTGACGTTGTTTTCTTTTTTTTTATGTTTAATTGTTTTGTTTGTTTTTATTTTTTTTTTTGGTCCGTTTAACGAACCGCACACACACATACAAATTTAGACTCGTATACATTAATAACATAACTAATGTAACAAAATATTTATAGAGCATAAGTTTCTGTTGTCTCCATTTTTAACTGTTACTTTTAATGTTATCATTTTAGTCTTTCAACTGTACGCTCTATTCGTCCACTCGTTTCAGTTTCTCGTTAGAAATTAAGATTGAGAATGTATTTATTTTCAAACACCATACACACAACAAACACATACGAACTGCACAACACTACGTTGGAGTTTCACGTAAATATATAATGATACATGTTTCCTTTGAATTCCTTTTCTGCGATTTTATAATATTTATAAAATCTTTTTTACTACACTGTAGCAATTTTTCAATGGATATTTAATGTGTTTTACGGTTTAAACCGCAATGAACGTTTCTTCTTTTGTATATATTTAATATTGAATAAAAGATCTAATATGAAACAAAGATGTATACTATATTTTTACCTTATCTAATTAATCATATTATAAAATTTACTATATATCTATTAAATGCATAAGTTGAAGAACAGCAGCAAACTAAAAATGCAATCTTTAATAAATATTTTCATTATAAAACTTAATTTATAATTTCTTTTTCAAGACAAAATAACACCGAAACGTTCATCGAATTCGGAGACTGATAAAAACAAAAAGAGAAACCGAAAATCTGTCACTCTAGAGATTAAACTAGAAGTTTTACGTCGCTTTGAAGATGGTGACAAAATTGTCCAAATTTGTAAGTCAATTGGACACATTCGCAATCTGCTGCGCATTTAAGTGTCTCAAAATTAACTCGCCAAAGAAGCAGCATTATGGAAAAAATGGAAAAATTATTGGGTATATGGATTGAAGACAATAACCAACGGAGGATGACAATGAGCCAAATGACTATCCAAGAAAAGGCTAAAAATATTTTCGAGAAATTGAAGAGTGAGAATATCGATGAATCTATGAAATATTCCAAGCAAGCCACGGTTGGTTTGAAAATTTAAAAAAACGGCACAATTTTCACAACTTAAAAATGAAAGGTGAAGCAATTAGTGCCGATGATAAAGAATATCCCAACATTTTGAAAATAATTATTAAAAGAGGTGGACCTGATCAAGTTTTTAACGTGGACGAGATAGGACTCTATTGGAAGCGATTGCCTGAACGCACGTACATTACAAAAAACGAAAAGTCTGCATCTGGTTATAAGATGTCTAAAGAACGATTATCTTGGTTTCCGAATCATGTATACAAACAGCTAACATCAAAGAACTTGTCGAATTCACTTTCTTATTTCGAACAAGGAATAAACATAGGAATAAACGTAGCGCTACAGTTTCTCGAGAAATTAACTCAACTATTAGCTGTTATAAAGAACTGCAAAAAGAAGCAAAAAGCAAGGCAAGTCAAAGAACGTTGGACAATTTTTTTTTAAACCACGTCAATCTACAATAGCGTGATAATGATTTTTAGTTTCAGTTTATTATTATACTTGTTATGTATTTTTATTATATGTAAGCATTTTCAAATGAAAGAAAAATATGGATTTTAATCTAAAAACTACGTTATTTTATAAACAAAAATTGGAACCGATCCTATTGAATTTATATCATTAATTGATTCGTTATACGGCTTTTCGATTTTCTTATCTAGGCCGTAAAGCGAGGTATTAGATTACAAGCTAGTAAATTATTACTCACCTATTTAACGGCTCTCTCATTTACATTCCATCACGACTTTCAAACTGCAATCAATGCATATTTCACTAAAGAGTTGCACAACACTTGAAAAACAAACGTCACCCACAAAATGTTATTCGTCTGTAAACAAAAATGACAAATAAATGCTTCAATTGTTTAAATGAACTCTTAGTTGAAAAAAATAATAAGTCAATCATAATTAAAGTACAATTTAAAGACATGGGTTTTCAAAAATAATCAGTAAATAAATTTATTAATTAAAACTATAATAAAATACAAACAACTGATAACAACCGAAGAATATTTCATGAAACTTTTATATTTTGTAGGTCCTTCACGCTGTTGATGAACGTGACGATCTTCTGTATCTTTAATTCCGTTGACTGCTGCTCGGCTAACAATTCTTTCTTCTCTTTATCTTCAGTCTTGACGCTGATTGTCAGCTGAGAATGCTGATCCTGCAACTGTGTTAAGTCGGCAGTCAGCTCTCTATTTCTTTCTACTAGATCTTGTCTTTCCTTCAACTTCTCTAAACAAAAATTACCATCATTACTTATATCAACATATTGCAAACGTTATTATTTACCATTCAATTCGGCATTCGCAGCTATCGCACTGTTTTTCATATCCTTGTAACATTTTGGACAATGTTTCGGTTGCTGCACCAGCGGTCTGTTATGACAACTGATGTGAAATCCGTTCGTGCAGAACTCGCAGATCACCAAATAGCCTAAAATTTTAAAAGTATTTTATAAAAATAAATTAAACTATTTTTTTTTTAAATAAATATTCTACCTCCTAAGCGGCATTCTATGCAAGTCTTTGTATCAGCAGTAGATCGGGCTTGCGTTATCCGTTCTATCGTAAGTCCACTGGGCAGGTTGGGAATAGATAACTTCTTGTCAACAGGCGAACTGGGTCTGGACTGCTTGAAGGTCGGAGATGAACCTCGCGCTTTATTCTTAACAGACTGCCTGGTATTTGGGGGCGATGCGTTTGCTAAGTACATGTTGCGTTTTCGTTTCTAAAAATAGGCGTAATGTGAATTGGTTACAAACAACGCTTCAAAATGAACTTACAGATATATCCCAGCCTTTTGTATATAAAAACTGAGGATTCGCCGTCCGCCTCCTCTTTCTTTCAGCTCGTTTGTTCTGGATTTCCTTGAATACATCGTGCGTAGCCAAACCGAAATATGTAAGAAAATCTGTCTGCGAGATGTCCTGAGGATTAATAGGATTCGGGGCGCATGGTTCAGGCGATGATGGACCTGACTGCAATTCTGACTCCTCCGAAGGCGAAGCCGATTGTTGAGATGTAGATCTTTTTATACTGAAACACAAAAATATAGTCAAACATTATTAAAAACATACACATACCTAAATATAAAAATCCTGTTGCAATGATTCATGCTTTTATACTATATTTTATTATTGTGGCAATGATTTTTGTTATTATTTCATTTCAGAGACTGCAAAACTCACAGTTTAACAAAACACAATGGCGTGCTAACTCCAAAGTAAATATATATGCAATTTCAGAAAAAATTAGAAAGCTTAACAATATGAATAGTGCAGGATTTAAATTCATTATATGATAAAACAACTTACATATCTTGCTTCCTTGCTCGATTTAGAGCAGATGTCAAGTTAAGCCTTCTTTCCTCCAAACCATTTTTAACTGTTGCAGCTTTGGCATTTCTTTGTATTGTCTTGTACTCCTTCCGCAAGCGATCCACCAAATCTTTCTGCAAATCAAAGAAAACAATGAATATGCTACATTTGTAGATAGTAAATTATACATTACCTGCTCCAATCCAACATTGACAATTTCTTGTCTTGTCTCTTCAATTAATATTTGCACTTCTTTATTCTATAACAGATATAAACATGAAAAATATCTTAATTGTATTAGATTGCACAATTATTATAAATATTAACATTAATAACATGCTTATAAAAAATAAATTATGCAATTTGTTTAAGTTAATAGGTGAATTATAATTTTATAAAATTGTCTTCTTTAGTTCTAAAACAATCGAGTATGATTATTATAGAGCATTATGAATTCTCAATATTTAATATAGCAATACAGCAATTTATCTAATTGCAAATACAGTAAATAAGTAATTCTTGTTTAATTAGAATTAACTAAACAAAAATATTAAATTGAGTTGTGGATTAATGACATAATTAATTAAAAAAAGAATCTATATAAATAATAAATAAATTGTAATACATACCTCATGAGGATCTTTTATATCTTTGAGTTTGCTTAGAAGTGTCTATAAAAAGAAAATACATATATTTTACTGTTGTTGAAAAATGTGTTTACATGTATGAATTGAACAACAACTTGCTTGAAATTTACACAGAAAGTCCAATTGAAAGGTGTTTATTTGTTTAACTGATTTTAATTTGTATTTATTGGAATCTAAAAAATATCTGTAATTAATGTGTTGAGATAGATTTCAATGAATTTGTTGACTTAGGAAAGAATAATGAGTATTAAACAAAACATCCTTGAAATCAAGTTGGTTTGTAATGGGTAAACAAGATTGACTAAATGGCGAACCAAAAAAAAAAAAGCAAGTTGTGAAACAATTTTCAATTATGCATTCATCTCGTTCTTTTACTTTTACGACTTTGTAGCGATTTCCCAAACGGATACATTTCCTTCTGTATTAGATTTTCTAGCTTGCGTAGCCAACTTCAGGGCATGTCACGAAAACCGCTTTCGTTCGGTAACATTAAACAAAGTACAATTCCGTCTGTTTTTTGTAAGAAAACTATTCCCATCGAGCACATCATCACTCACCTGGTGTTGTTTTATTCCTTTCTTCAGCTGTGACTGGTTTTTCTCCAGCAAACTGCGAAGCTCCCTCGAAATCTCCGCGTTCAGAGTGTTCCTCATTTTCTCTCCAAAGCTCACTCCAAACTTTGCAGCACGCGAATAAACTCTGTGTGCGCACTCACCAACTAACACGCTGGAACAAGAAAAGATTCTACTTAGATTCCGAATCCGCACACTTGTTACGCTCGGACCGCTTGGATTCCAATAATCGAACAATAGCGTTACTCATTTATCAAAACGGGAATAGCTTCGTACTATTTAGTTAAGATCTTGGGGGGAAGTCCGAATGAAGTATAGAGAAAAAAAAATAACGTTTATCTTGGCCGATTATTTTCCTTGTTTCGACAGACACAAAGCGAGGAAAACACGGAAAATGGTGTTTACATTCATGTATAAACATAACTTATCTGTTTTAAAAAAATGTAACTATAAATGAATCACGGCCCACGAATTATTAAAGCCTCACCAAAATGTTATGTAAATCTCACTCTCTCGCGCGAAACTACGTAAGTAATTAAAAGTCAAAGCAAATATAAAATAATTTAACATCTACAAAGAAATAACTACAACTAGTATAAATCACTTACCGCTAACAGGAAATTTCTATCACCCTCCTAATTACTCATTCACCCTCACCAAATCTTGCGTACCAAAAAAAAACAAAGCAATAGTTTCTCTGGACGGTTGGAGGGGGCGTTAGACAAATATAATATTGAAAAAAACAATAACTTCCAATCCACAGATCACTATGCTCTGCTTTCGGTTTACTGCGAACGACCAAAAGTTGATACAAAAAAGGAATTGCAGTTTCCTTTATTCCTCCGTTTCAACTGTCGCGATCCAAGGTGTTGCACCTCTTCCAAATAATGTTGATAAACTAATTCAATCTCAATTACAAACCTGTTGCGAGCAATTGATTTGCGTTGGTAATGCAGGATACTGTCAGTACGAATGTTTAAAACATTTCAATAAGGAACGCACTGGCCTCCATTTCTATTACAAACTATAACCCCAAGTATGATTTATTTCAAGAAGTCATGAAGCATTTGCAACTCGTATACTCTTAATGACATATGTATACCTTGTAGTTTTATTTTCTGTATATTTATATAACTGAACAACACTACAATTTCAATAAAGAATAATTGAATGCCCCAACTGTTGTCTCACATCAAACTATATTAGCAAATGAATAACTTTCTCTTGTTGCCAACAGATGATGCTGGTGAACTCTTCAAATTTCTTTAAAAGTCTAGTTCTTTATTTGCACTAATATTCTTGATATAAATAATAGGAAAATAAATTATCACTTTACTAATTGCATAACTATTTTATTCACATTTAATTTATATATTTACTATTGAAGTAGTTCATTTAACTCACTAATCTAACTAATTTCAATAAATAAAAACATCAAATAAACTTATATAATATATTTAACAATCTAATCTATTATTAGAGATATTATATATAATGAATGAAATATCTACAACATTTATATTGTGTTAAAGTTCAAGGCAGATTGATTTAACAATTTAAATTAACCATAGCAACAATAAAAAAAAACATTGTAAACAAAATATATAATTAAAATATTAATAAAGTTCTCAAATATATTATATAAAATTATTATATTACAAATATAACTGTATATTTGTATCATGGTAAGAAATTGCTATATTCTTTTCATTTTTAGATATTTATAATCAGTAAATTATTTAATTATGAAATATTAACATATAAATTTGATTATTTATGTAACGTTATCACGAGATAAAATTATAAAACAAATATGTTATTTTTTCAATTTGAACTAAAATGTGGTGCATATGAACTACACGCTTCCAAGTCAACAACAGCTGACGAGACAAATTTTAGTTTTTCTATTAACATGTAGTAACATAACCATAATTTATCAACTAACATTATACTATAATGAGAAGGATATATATACATATATTAATTGTGCTGTTGCTAGGCTACAGCTGCAATAGTTTAAGGATTTACAACAAAGATGATATGATTAAGTTTAGGTTAGAAGCAAAAGTTTCCTAATTGTTTTATCCAATTAAATAATAATATGCCTTTATTATGCAGGGAAGAGGTGAGGTCAATGTTCTATCATGCCTACGATAGTTATTTAAAATTTGCTTATCCATATGATGAGCTGAGACCAATAAGCTGTGATGGGATTGATACTTACGGAAGGTGGGAATCTGTACTAAAAAAAAAGTGTATATTATAATTATTATTATTTTTAGTTATTCATTAACTTTAATAGATGCACTCGACACATTAGCCATCATGGGCAACTATACTGAATTCCGGAGGGTAGTTAATATACTCACAATGAAAGAGAACTTTGATGCAAATATTAATGTATCTGTATTTGAGACTAATATTAGGATAATTGGTGGGTTATTAAGTGCCCATTTACTCTCACAAAAGTAACTGTTTTTTACTGATTTGTAATTGAGAATAAGATGTTGTGACTGACACTTTTGTGTTTTAGAGCTGGTGTAGATTTAGAACCAGGATGGCCATGTAATGGGCCTCTGTTGAGATTAGCTGAAGATGTTGCCAAACGGCTGGTGGTGGCGTTCGATACGCCAACGGGAATGCCCTATGGTACTGTTAATCTTAGACACGGTGTGCCGAACGGCGAGACGACCGTCACCTGCACTGCCTGCATCGGAACGTTTATTTTGGAATTCGGCACTTTGAGCAGGCTAACGGGGGATCCTCTATATGAAGAAGTATATTTTACCGTTCCATGAGTTTCTGAGATCACCTTCCATTCGAACACCCAATATTAATCACACTTGCATACATTCTAGGTAGCTATGAACGCGCTGCATTCGCTCTTCAATCACAGGTCCCAAATTGGACTCTTTGGTAATCATATAGATGTTGCAACAGGCCGTTGGACTGCTCAAGATGCTGGTACATTAAATTTATATGATAATCACGCTTGGATTACAGTAGCGTTTCTCTTTAATGACACGTATTCAGTTTGCATATAGTAATTCAAATTTATATTTAACTTTCAGTTTTCACAATATATTTTCTTTCTTATCTCTTAAGAGAGTAAATATTTGAATATAGGCGAAACTTTAATCCAACAGCATGAATAATAAAAATATTATAAATCTCTTTTGTAGCGAGGACAATTGATTTATACAGAATATGTAATGGAATGTTTTAGGGATTGGAAGCGGAGTCGATTCGTACTTTGAATATTTAGTAAAGGGCGCGATTCTCCTACAAAAGCCAGAATTAATGGACATGTTCTGGGCAGCGCGAAAGGGCATAGATAAGCATATAAAACACAATGACTGGTATCTGTGGGTATCTATGACCAAAGGAACTGTGACATTACCAGTTTTCCAATCCCTCGAAGCCTATTGGCCAGGGGTCTTAAGTTTATTCGGTAAATGAGAAAACAAAATTATTTGGAGGAAGTGCTTTTTTTTTCTTACTTTTTTCTTCGTTTGTCTGTAGGTGATACAGGAAGTGCGATGAGGACATTGCACAACTATCACCAAGTGTGGAGTCAGTATGGTTTTACGCCTGAATTCTACAACATTCCGCAATTAGAAGTTGGTGCAAACAGGGAGAATTACCCGTTGCGCCCAGAGCTTATAGAATCTGTGATGTATTTATACCGAGCCACTGGGGATCCTTATTTACTTCAAGTCGGGGTCGATATTTTAGAAAGTATTCAATATAGTGCCAAAACGCCTTGCGGTTACGCAACCGTACGTAGAAATCAGTTTATTTTAAAAGTTTGATGTACATTAATTGTTTGTTTATTGCAGATAAAAGATGTTAAAGATCATAGGAAAGAGGATCGCATGGAATCGTTTTTCTTAGCCGAAACCACGAAGTATCTATACTTGCTCTTCGACACTGACAACTTTATACATAATCAGGGTGGGCATGGAAAGATCATAGATACGCCCAATGGGCAATGCTTGATTGAAGCTGGCGGATATATCTTCAACACTGAAGCCCATCCAATCGATCCGAGTGCCTTGCACTGCTGCACCCAGACGCCTAAAATCAACATCCAAGACTTCACCAATCATCATTCCTTCGAAGGTGTCAGCATCGATCAGATGAAGAAAGAAAAACGCCCGGCGATGAAATCGAACCCAAAAGACCCTGTTGCTGAGCCCGATTTGAACTACAAGCTAGACGAACCCGAAGATGCGGATGAAAACTCAGAGCAATTATCAAATTCCACTTTATACGAGGATGTCCTGACTTCCTCGTCCCTCATACCAGAATTCGTCGAGCAAGTGTTCTCGAATACCGAAAAGAAATATAATCTTCAAGAATTGCTATTGAAAATCCGCGAGCAAAACACAATTAGGAACACCAGTTTTTCTAAAGACTATAAACTTTTGAGTTGCCAGGCGCAGCCGTTTATGCAGAAGCTCTCGATTTTCGGCGAAATGTTTTAAATTTAAATTATTCTTTAATATTTATGTTATAAAAAAAATGAAAGAAAAGTAATAAAAAATTAATAACTGATGCAAACCATGGCAGAAAAGCAATTCCTTCCTTCACCACATAAATATTCACCCTTTCAATTTCGTTGCTTTATTGATTTACTGTTTTTTTTTTTTCGGTGTTTTCCTTGGCTTCAATAAAAGCGACTTCCTGCTAGACTGATGTTGCCAGAAACATTGGCCCTTTTTTTATTTAGGAACGAAGGAGGCGGAAAAATGAAGACGCGCGACGCAACCTAATGAATACTGCATTATTATATCGCGAACTTCTCCAGCGCAAAAACCACTTTGCGCCCGCCTCGTCCATAACGTTGTCCCATAACTCAACCCCCCCGAGATTCAGATAAATACGGACACACGGTGGTCTCCACAAAAGACTATCCGAGAACTTTAGACGATTTATTTTTATTTCTCTTTTCCCTCCGCATAAGTTTAAACTCTTAGCTTGCACAGATTTGTAACTGTAAAGAGCTGAAAAGTGCACAAGTTCGTGAATAACTTAATCGCATCGAAATTACATTTGTTTGAATTGTATTTATTGCAGCTACAGAAGAAACATAACGATATTTCGAATCTCGTTTCTTTCATTTATGCATTGACCAATTGGAGAAAATGAGGGTTTTATTAGAGACCCAAGAGAGTATGGACAATAATATTTGACCCTGTCGTACAGCGACTTTTAGGCAAAAAATAATCATACCAGACGTCATAAAATAAGACTTTAGTTATTTATGAAATGTACCAAATAAAATTACATTTTATTCCAGAACAAAAGTTTAAGTCTTTCTTCAACGTAAAGACAATCCATTCCATTGATAGAATCTCAAGAAATAAATCTTATTTGCTTACTTAAACATCTTATATTAAGAGCACAATGAATAAAATTAATAAAACTTAATTTACAGGTTCGAAAAATAATAAAATGAAAATTTAACAAATTGTTTAGCATTTTCTAATTTATTTATTGAGAAATATATTACCACTAAATATATCTATAAAAAGACTAAATTATAAAAGTTTTGCAAATTTAAATAAATTAGGTTGCAGAAAATGAAAACATCATAAAATAATAAAGCTTAAAATAATATTGTTACTTTTATCTAGAATGACAAAAATGTTATTTTTATTATTTATTACTGTTCAGGGTGTAGTTTACTACATATTTCCTCTTTATCATTTCGTACCGTTGCGTACCCGCACATATCTCGACAGTTTCATAAGCATTTATAGCACATTACTCAAATTTATACACTCTTAAGAAATGAGTGTGCGTAAAAATAGATGCGAATAAATTGGATTTATGGTATTAAATGAAAAATCTCATTATCTTGCTAATGAATGAAATGAAAAAATAACTAAAATAGTAACAAAAATGGATTTTCATAAATAAGCACATTTCGTGCAACTTTAGCTGAATTCAGTATTATTTAGCTGAATTTAGCTTATTATAGTGCTTTATATTAAATTTGTTGAAGCTATAAATAAATATCTAAGTTAAATTGATTTAGGTCTGGCGCCGATCATCAATTTTGTTTGTCTTATTAGTACTAATAGCACTGGTAATATGATACTAACATACAAATATATACATATGAATTCGATTCCATTTAGATGCAATATATTCAGTATAGTCTATATTTGTATATAGACTGAATTATGATTATATAATAGTCTACTTCACAGTCGCAATCCTTTGTTGGGTTGCATTAATTTTTTTATGGTTGCGAAATGACAGAAGTCACAAGCTAAGAAAAACAATTGTGTTGCAGTACTATTAAAAATAAATATGTTGAAAAAAAAAAGTGGACAAACGCTGGTCTATATATTAAATAATATATATTAATAATTACATAATAATAATAATATAATTAAGTAATTAAGACTCAATAGATTTATTGCTACGATAATTGAAAACTGTATTTTGAAGAGTGTATATATTTTGATGTTATTAATTTATTAAATAAAACATTTTTGGTTAAATCAGATATTTTGGCAAAGTCATGAGTAAACTTCGTACATTATATAAATTTAGAAGTAATGAAGACAACTGTTGTAAGTCAAAGTTTAAAACACAATAAACTACGTTTTCCAATTGTACTGTAAGTTCTAGTTCACGCCCATACATTACATTTCTTCCAAGTAACAGTGGTATATTTGCTTAGCGAACAAGAAGACTTTAGAATAAGTATAAATATCTTGCTCACATTATTAATAAATACGTTACAGAGCTGGGAGCTCCTTGTGGAATACTTACAAGAGGTACGTTATACAAGAACGAAAACAATTATCATTGAAAAACGATATATATTGTTTATATTATTATAACTAATTATATTGTAATTACGAATAAACGTTAAATGAATATCTTTAAAAAGTAATTAAGCGTTTTATACAATGCAATTGTAGTGAAAGTATTACATAATGTGTTTATCTGTAGTCATGATACAAATATATTTGTATATTTTGTAATTGGAAATTAATATTGTTTTATTTATTAAGATCTTAGCTTGTCTTACAATCGTTTTTTTTATATAATAATTATTAATAAATAACTAACATTTTCTTTAATTCTTAAATTGATTATTATGTCTATATATTTTTTTTACATCAAAATTAATGGATCAATCTGGGTAAAATTTGTATAACAAATGATGATTGAAATTGATAGTGCTAACTATGAATAAAGTTAATCTATTATGCGTCTATAATTTCCAATTTGTTAGTTTATCAAAATAAATAATACATTTGCGTAGCATGCGTATGTCCCGCCCGTAATTCATCATCATCATAAATAAAGTACCGGGAATTAAAAAAAAACTACACATGATTTTACTTTCATGCATAAATTAATTATGTTTTTTTTGATATTTGTAAACAAATGTTATTAAACGTTACGAATTAATCAAATAATTAGTTTCAATTATCTCTAAATGTTATGTTTCAATTATCTCTAAATCTATAACAAATAGTAGGTGAAGTAAAAAGTTCTGAGCGTTTTTCGTTACATGGCTTTAGTGTGCCATATCTCATGATGTATACGTTGAATCTTATCAATCTATACTGCGGCTTAAAGGCGACATAACGTTTTAAAAAAGTTCTTTGACAGTTTTGAGTTTAGTGAATCCAGTTGTGTGTTACAACGTTACAAGATGGAGGTAAAAAAAATGAGAAAATTCGATATTTTCTTCAGTACCAAAAAATACAATATCGAATTCAACAACAAAGCGTTCGTTCCAGCGCTTCTTTTCTGGTAATATTAATGTCGAAAAAGAGACACGCTCTGGTAGGCCAATCATCGAAAATGTTGATAAAATCATGAAAATCGTCGAGTTGGACCGACATGCGAGCACTTATTCCATTGCCCAGAAACTGAAGATTAACCAGAAAACCGATTGGAACCATTTGCATAAGGTCTCAAGAAGAAGCTCGATGTATGTGACAAAACGCTCGTTTTACTTCACCCAATATGATTAAATCATATTTAAAGGGCAGAAAGACCTGTGGTCAATAGCCCTTTTTAGCAGTTTAATTTAGTTTTATATTTGTTATTATGTTAAGTTTATATTTTGGTAATTTTTTGCAGTAAATACTAATATTATAAACATATTTAAATAATTTCAAACTTATTATTAACTTTTACTTTTAGTACATGAGAAAAAATAATTTGTTAAAACACAATTGAAAAGTAGTTTTAAAATGATTGCAATAATTGTTATAACAATAATAAATTGTAAATCTTTGTTTAGCAATTTATTTAGTATATTGAAATTCATCAACATCATTAATTAATGTTAACATTATCGCATTTGACACATAAGAATAGACAAACAACAAATATTATATTCTTAGTTAATATTAATTGAATGTTTGTTCTTCTTGGTTATGACAAGAAGGAGTTTGTTCTGAAATTGTATAATTTTTATTATTATTTTTAATAGTTATACTTTATTTATACGTTAAATGCTACATAAAACATAAGGTTAGTGTACTTAATAAAGTTGTATATTATTGAAGAAGTATTGGCTGAATACTTTAATGTAGAAACTGCAATGAGAATTCCCGAATTGTATACTTAATTAAGCGGAGATAGTCGGAGTTCAGAACTACGTAAATAGTGTTTTACAATTTTATTGTTCTAGTTCACGCCGCAGGAAATTAATTACTGTTAGAGAGACAATTGTACATTTACTTAGAGAACAAAAGTGTTTTATATATCAGCATTCGCTATAAATCTAATGAATACACAATTAACTATGAATGAAATGTAGAATAGTACATTATATTTATTTCGTTTTGGTAACATCAGATTTTATAAGTTCTTGTTTACTTCAATTGTGTTTGTTAAGACGCCATTGATAACTTTCAAGTGCCTTCTATCAAATATTCTTCGTTCTTATTACAATCTTATTCAAGGACGGCGCTACCGAATGGTTAAAGCGGTCATTTGCCCAGGGCGGCAAATCTTCATAAATTTATACTAAATCATTTTACGTTTGAGTATGTATATCTTGCCCGAGGGAACAAAACCTTTTGCGCCATTATAAAAGATCACCAGTTCAAGTATTCTGTGATACACGTTGCTTAACTATCGAACACGATCTAAGCTTCTCATTTTATGTACTTATTATTGACACCATTATCTATATAACATTTAATGTAATACATTATCTTACAGGTAATTTTCATAGTTTCTTAGATTTGTTATAAACATTTTTACCTAAAATTTATAAAAGAAAACGTTTCATATGCATTTTTATCAAGATCAATATGCAGTTGCTTTTCTGTATTAGTTTCTTCTTCATTTCTTTTACTTAATATATGTGTTAAACATCATGGATAAGATATATAATAAACAAAATTGTTTTCCAAGTAAAATTGAAAATTGTTTTTGATGATTATATATTGCGTACAACTTTCAGTTTTACATGAATTAATCAACTGATCTCTTAATTTCTTCAGCATCATAAATAAACTTTACAAATGCAATTTATCAAGTTTCTTGTGCAGATGCTGCTACGTATTAGTTTTCTACTTCGTCGAATGGACCAACTGCCACATCTCCCACATACTGCATTTACGTTTTTTCTTTATTTTTCTATTTCTCCTACAAGACTAATTTGTGCTCGGAAAGTAGTTTGTCGCATCTTCCAGCTTCAATTCCATACTTCAATTAATCAATTTCTTTGTTGACTTGAAAGAACTGAGGACAGGACGTGTTTGCCTTCCTCTTCTTGCAGGGTAAATAAATATTTATATTGTTGTTCGAGATGAGTGTTTTCGTGTTGGCGCGACGTCTTTTGTGGGCCACGGTTTGGATTTGCGCGAGGAACACGAACTATGTTAGTGTGCGTCCGAGCGTCGCGGTGCCGAGCGTCTAGCATGCTGCAGCATCGCGACGGCCCACAAACTCCATACTCCTCCAGTCGCGTGTTTTGCACAAAACGGACCGGTTCGATCATGGCCTTTGCGGAACAACAAACCCATCAATAAATTTATATACGTACACGAACAATCGCACATATAAAATCCACCCTTAAATCAAGTGTTCTTAGTTCAGTTTTGTTTAGTTTAGTTATTATTTTTTGTTTGTTTAATTAACATGGAAACCACAGTTTACATGACGACCAATCTGGACTGTAAAACAAGATTTGTCAATTGGTTGAAACGTGTTCAATTGAAAGCAGCCCTGCAACACATCCTGCTTCTCGTTGCTCTGATGGTTTACACACTTCTCGGTGGATTGGTAAGATATTTTTAAACTTTCTCCCAACAAAAAAAATATTCAATATATTCTCAATAAACTTTAACAAACTTGTGGTAGCTTACTAATTGCATACTTTCTCAAACACGATTAAACTTAAATTTCTCAATAAATTATTAATTGATAAAGTATTTAAAGTTTTTCAAACATTATTTCAATACAAATATGTTTTTATTTAAACTGAATTGAATTGAATCGAAACTTATAATATAAATGCAATTCATTCAGAATATTTAAAAAAGAACAATTTTCTATGAAATTGACTTCCATCCAATTCACTATAAACACTGTAACGCAATATTTCTAATTTAAATTATCTCATGAACTATAAAACTACCATAAAAAATGGACTGGAGTTTTAAAGATAGATCAAGTGGTTTCATTATTATTGTGTTGGTTTTAAGGACGTTTCAAAATTGACCGCTTTGACTGTTTATATAACGCGCTCGATTCATGTTAAACTTCTCAACGTCTTCTAACTACAAGTTTTTTTCTCTAAATTTTTGGGATACCAAATCATTATTTCAATATTCCTATGCTACAGACATTGCATAAAAATGTAATTCATTTATATATTAGCAGATTCATAAAAAAATCATATTTTTAGTATTTAACTTTTTTAAACTTCATATTTTTTTTATTCAAAATTAATTGTATCATATTTTCAACTATGTTTCATATTTTTTTTATATGTAAATTTCTTTATTACTAAATATTTGCAAAAGTAAATTGACTTTGTATTAATGAATAATATTTTAAAAGAAAAATAATAGCGAATAATAAAAAGTTTTTTTTATATATAAAATATCTTCTGAAATTTATGATATTCGCAGATAAGAAAGATACAAGTTTCGCTTCAGGTAAAATAATACATTGGCACGGATTCCGGGATGCGAGTTCGAAACAATCCCACTATTTAGATAGTATTTTCAGCCCCTAATATGTGCGACCCAAATAGAGATATGAGAAAATGTAATTGAAGTGCAGGTGTTTTCAATAGCCGCAGACATCCTTATCTTCGGGTATTTTCGAATATCGTCTTATTATAGACACGACCGTTGACCTTTCAATTCAAAGTCATAAAAAGACAATTATAACTCTGACAAATACAAACTTTCTACTTATTACCAATATAATATTGTTGCAATAGCTAAAGCATTCTTTAAATTCATATATTTTAGAAGATTTTGTTCATTTAACAAATAACCATAAAATTTATGTACATAGTAGAAAGAATCATTAATTTAGGGGAATCCAGTTCCCTCGTACACTTCTTTTTTTACACGAAATCCCACACCTTAATTAATTTGACCATTTCACTCCATTCTATAATCCCATTAACGTAAACCCCCTACATTTAAGATACTCCCTATACTAATTAGTAATAACTATTTATAATTATTTTATTGCATAATAAAATAATTCTATATGATAAGTAAACTATTTATTTTATCTAACAGTTAAAAACTGAAATAATAAGAAGTATTTATGGTGAATTATCCTTAACTATGTTTAATTTAATAATTACGTCAACTATGATTACCATTAAAATCAACATGATGTAGATAACGTAATAAATAGTTGATATGTAATTTGATGGATGTGTAAGGTCGATTCTGCAAGGGGGGCCTTTCATTAAGGGATTTAGTTTCGACGCAAGTCAAAGGGCAAACGTAATTATGAAAGAGGCAATGCGAACCAAATGAAAGGAAACATAATAGAAGGTTTATTGCGGCAATCGTTAATGATCGAGTTCACACCTAAGTTCATAAATATATGCCACTGAAATGCTATTGTGTTCGAAGAATGAAAGATTTATTAATTGTGTTGACAAATAATAATGATAACAAAAATCCAGTATTTTGTTGCGCTGTTAATCAAATAGCTTATGTTAGATATTGTAAGTAAATTCCATTGTTAGATGTATTCATAAATTAGGTGTATTAGAGTTATGCGAATACAGTGAACAAACAGTATGAGTAATATTGTCGCTTTATCAAAATATACTATAGAGAAACGTTAATAATGATTACAAGTTTGGATTTGACTAAATATATATACTAAATCAAATGTTAAATCGTCAAGAATTTTTTTTTTTTGTAAATGTATTAAAAGATTCACAGAATCATTCATCAGTAAAAATAGTTGGTTTATAAATATTTAATTTTAAAATTAAATAAAATAATGAGTGATTAACTTTATTAATTACTGCTCTTTATATAGTAATTCAATATAAGATTTATTTTTTATGATAATCTCTAGATCAATACTATAAACTAATACTAACTTTTTCTTTAAATAATACTTTTGAATTCTCTACAATCTGTTTGTCAATTACATATATTTATTATAATTTAAAGCACAAACATTCCTCCGTCTTTTTCCACACATGCTCACAATATCAAACTTCTCATTTAGTTTCTTTCTTGTGTCTTTTTTCTTATGGCCTACGATAAACCTATTCTATTAACTATCCTACGTGACTCTCTGAAGGTTGGTACTTTTATTAGGTTTCGCTATACGCTTCCTTTTTATTTTCAAACTAAATCCTCCCCCTAACAAATGATAATACTTATTTTGAAAATATTCATATACTGACTATCTAATTTTATCACTGAAGATTTAATATTCTTATAATACAAAATAATAATAAAAATAGACAAAGCAACTATGAAATAAAAATTTCAATACAGTGGAACCTCGCTTAACGAGCATTTCGCTTAACGAGCAAAATGAATTGTAAGAAAAATTATTCGCTTAACGAGCGACGTTTCGCATACCGAGTGACGATCAGAAAAGAAGTCCCAGGGATTGCGTGCCAGCTACATCATTTTTAAAACTTGTGTACACTTATTATGTGTATTTTGAATATGTTTCACTATACGAATATTTCAATATACGAGTAAAAATCCAGAAATTTTGGAACGGATTAAACTCGTTAAGCGAGGTTCCACTGTATTTGTTATATTTCTTTAGATTAAAAATTTCTACAGTAATATAACTATCGCCAGATTTATACTGTGATAGGTTTTCTAATCTTTTAAAGTTAAAAAAAGTACCGTGTAAAACGAGGGATAGGTGTATTCAAATAATATTCAGCAATATTTGCTTAATGCAACAGAAAAACTTTCATAAACTCACTGAATCTACATTTTTTCACGTATTTGCTATAAAATTTTGTTTATTAAAGTGAAACATTTTTGTGTTATTCAACAGCATTTACGATCACATTTAGGTAGCATATTCATACTAATAGAAATGATTTATAGTCTCTGAAATTTAAACACTTTTTAACGCTATAAAATACATCAAATATGTCACAAAATATATGCAATTCAGTATTTTTTTACAATAAAATATTGCATGTATTAGAAAATAATTAAAATTTTCCATTAATAAGATTTTAAAAAAAAATGCTTAATACGTGTCAACTATTAATTTCTGTAGTAATTTATTAATCTCTCTTGAAATAAATCTATAAAGAATTTTCCATTGCTTTGCAATATATCATTGATCTTTTTTATGTAAGATTAATCGTAAGCATTAAGAGGTAAGCTTATGATGATGATTTGGCGTGTCTGAGTGCCAAAAACTTTTACGACAAGAGTGCATTATGTTGATGAATACGAAGCGGGCGAAGGGCGGAAAATGAGTTATAATTTGTAAAGCAGGAAGATGAGAAACTGAATTTTGCTTAAACTTGACTGTAAATTAAATCAGAAAACCCGGAAAGTACGTAAATACCAATTGGTGTTATGATTATTTAAATTCGCTATTTATAGTGGCGCCCCCATCAAAGCTATTTATAGTTTTCTCCCTAGTTCCATTCAAATCACTATCTACTATCAAATTCCCTTCTTCCATTTCGCTTACGTAACTTATGGCTCCATTAAAGTCGTCCTGCGGCTTTTTATTGGAAAGTGCGTAAATGTCACGAGCCTCGCGAGCCGCGGCTCTAACCTTTTAAAGGGTCCGCTTTCTCAAATCCATAGAACTTTGCGAATGCAAACAGGAAACATTCATTTTTATTATCCGCGTGTATCCGTCTTTTAAATAAAAAGGAAACATCGATTTCATATTCCCATACCGATGTATAACAAAAAAAAAACATATTCTTGTGGCAGGATTCGGTTTTCACGTTTCGTAAATTCAGATGCGAATCGTGGCATTAATTTATCTGTTCTGCTTTAAGGTAAGTTTGATTCGGGTTCCGGAAACTGTGATTAATCACCGGATTGTACGTAGATAAAAATCTGAATTCCGGATCCGGTTTGTTTGTCGGTGAAAAAACACTTCGCTTAATAAGTTAGGGAACGAAGGCAATTGCCGAACGTTTATCATGCTGACCTTTTTTTTTCTTATTGGTAAATGGTAACTTTGTTGCAGGTGTTTAGAAGCGTGGAGTATCCGGCAGAGGTGGCTCGTTTAACGCATTTGAATCAAGTGGTGAACGCCAGAAGACACCACTTGGTTAATCGGATCGTGAATAACTCGGAACTAAGCAACTTGGGTGATTTGGTTTTGATGGAGGTGAAGGACTACGAGAAAGTTCTGCAGGATGCCGTCCTCGGAGGTCTCACAGACAACTCGCGACCTCTTGAAGAGCTCGAGAAGTGGACTATCCTCAAAGCCGTCTTCTTCTCCTCCACCGTCATCACGACAATAGGTAAATAAACACTTTTATCTTTGACCTAGTAACAGAAAAAAATAAAATAATATAAACACACACAAATGAAATGTAAATAACATCGATTTCCACTTTAATAAATATGATATTAAAAGTTTTCTTTCACGCAACGTCAACGTGATTTAGAGCCGCCCGAAAGAAGCCCAAAACGCAAAAGGAAACTTTAATCACGAACGGCTTTCCGTTATTTCATATTCCCACCCTTTGGAATGCATGCATATTCAGGATATTCACCATAACACTGCACAAGTAATCTGAAATAGTATTGAATCAATCTTCAGCGTGCTACAAATTGCAAATCGCTTGTTACATTTCACTTATCGCGCGTTGCGTTCTCAAACTCATAATTATTATTTATATACTGGAGCACGCTAAGATTAACGTTAATCAAAGTGGAACATTTAAAACGTAACAGATTTATTTTTCGAGATTGCTGCAGTCGCGGTGGAGGTGCCGGGTTTCGCCTAAGACGAATTTACTACAAGCTAATCTTCTGCAAAGTATGGTTATGCATGTTATTTAGCACTATTAATAGTCGGGTTTTAAGTAATTGGGTCGGTAAGTTACGGTGGAGACTGGGATTATCCCTGAGGACTTATTAATCGTTGATGTCCTCCAGAAGGGAAAAAGGAACTAAGGCCAACACCACCGTCTGGTCTTTCGGAGTTTCGAGTTTCTATTACATCTGGGACCTTTGTCTGTCTAAATCCGCCACATGTGAGCTTCTTTATGATGGCGTACGAAAATTTTAATTATAAAATTACCATTTAAATTTCAACTACTAATGTCTTCTCTTTGTTCCTCGACCCACAAAATTAACTTGTTTATTATAAGTTCACTTATATTTAATTAGAAATGATTACAACAAAATGTATGCTGTTGACAATAGCAAATTATATGTATGATGTAATAAAAGAAACAATTCTAACAAATATCTTGATAATTACTTAAACAAAAAGTTTATTTAATATATAAATAAAAAAGGGACCAATAAATTAAAAATATAAAAAATGGATACGTTTTGACAAAGTAAATCATATTTATTATTGTTTTTTTTTAGTTTATATAATTCAAAAACTTGGTTTCTATATAGAAATGAGCCAAAATCAAATACTTGAACTAAAAAATGTGTCTGTATAATTATATATATTGATTAACTTGCAGTTAGCCAAATTTCTTATTGATCTATGATGATTTGCCAACTTTTAATTTTATTAGTTCGTAAAACGAAATTCCATCCATCTTTTTTTTTAATACTCTATTTGATATTTCAGTTGTAAACAAAGAATATTAAATAATTCGTTAAAATGAACTATTAAAATAAACGTTTAATTTGATATATAAAAGATTAAAAGCATTTAATTTCAAAAGTTATAAAGAGGGAACAGAAAGTTTGAATATTTAACTGTTTAATCTGAATTCCTTAATAAACATGTCAGTAAATCAAGTCCCATGTCCCATATTAAATTTATATTAAAAAATGTCAGCGTTCAAAAGTTTTCCTATAAAATTTAAACACGTTTCTTAACAAAAAAAAAAGAAGAGATTAATGACATTAAATAATATCCTTGGTAAATTGCTTATAAAAAAAATGTAATCATATTTAAAATTTAACAATTTTACGTAACATTATATTAAGATTATATAAGTAAAAGAAAGTTCGTTTTAGCAATCGATTAATATTTTAAAGAGTCGCGAAATAACAGCTGTCACCTTATTTCAAAGCGAGAAACTGAAATACTCATGGCAATTGGTTCGCAGTACAAATATATTGGTTCGGTAAAAAAGTTGAGAAACGCTATTTAGACCCTAAATTGGAAAATGTTTGAGTAATTTTTAAGTGGTTTTATAAAAGTTTGCGATGAAAATATATAGTGAAAAAAATTACATTTAGTTGATTAATATTTACAGGTTTACCAATTTTTTTCACAACATTCAATTTGTTTCTTTTTTAAAGTTTATAAAAAACTGAGAATCAAATGTAATTGGATATCACTATAATTGATGTAAATGATCTTCTTAAAGCAAACAAGAAATATAAAGACGTGTTAGCAATTGAAAAGCTAAAGAAAGCTGATGCAGAATATACATTTTAAGTGAAACTCCTATTTCTCAAAGCGTTGTCGATGCATTTCAACGTATAGTATATGCAAGAGCCTAACATTGAGAGAACTAGAAAAATCGTTAAAAATTTAAACGAAAAAGTCTGCACATAAAATATACGAAAAACGTGTACTAAATCATTGAGACTTGACTATGTAATCAAATAATTAAGTTCAGCATAGATATAGCAATATACGAGGCATTCTTTCTTCTGCGAAAATTTCAAAACAATCTAAATTTTAATGGAGCAAAATAAAAATAAATTCTAGTGCACAAAATATTTTTTTACCCAGAAATGATTGTTTTAAAGTCCTCGATTAGTACGGTTTCAAACTGTACAAGATATGGTCAAAGCCGATAATTCTTTATTGAAATTTTCAATGAAACATAAATTTCATATGTTTATTACAAGAGATTTTACTTCTTATTTTATGATGGACCCATAGGAACTGATTAATTCCTAATGACGGAATTTGTTATAAAAAAATATAGATATATTTATTTTAAATATGAATTTGTATGTATACAAAAATACGAATCAATATTAAATATAGCGATTGTGAATTCTTCGGATCGAAAATTTATGATGGCATTAAGTTTATTAATATAGATACATAAGTGTAAAAAAAATATATAGTGTATCTAAACGCGCGAGGAGTTGAAGTGTAAATTTAGAACTGTGTTTCTTATTTCTAATGTTTGGATCAAAAGAGTGTGTTTGGGAAATGTTTACGATTCGAGTGAAAATGTAGAAATTTAATGTAAACGAGAACCTTGCCCATTCTTTTCGTCATGCGTAAATATTTAAAAAGAAAATCCACAACACGAGCTTTGTAATAAAAAAAAATAAAGTAAATCTTTTGTGGACGCAAAAATTATTTGAAAGGTATATAGTGTTACGAATTTTCAAATATTTGGACGTAGCGTTTCTTTGTCTTTGTGCCATTAAATATCTTCAGTTTTTCTCCTATGAAAATATATATATATGTGCGGTAGTCGACTATTTTTTTGGCAGCTATTACCGAATTCCATTGATCTTCGCCTTTCGCTTCAACTTAATGATTCGATTTCAAGTTGCCTTTCTGTCAACAACCATCAAATCCGACTCTTTGATGATGAATTATTTGACTTTCTTCAGTATTTAAATTAAGCTCTTTTTTAAACAATAATATACTTTCATTGATCTTTAAACATTGATGTATACTATATTAACTTCCTATTTTAATTCTGCATTAAAATACTTCTACATTAATTGTATAAATAAAAATTACAAAATGATGACGAGAATATTAAACATTTCATAATATTATTACTTATGCTTTAAGCATAAGTAATTTTAAATGTAATATAATAAAAATATAATTTATGACTAGTTTACAGATGAAAATGTAGACATTCACTCAGTATTTTGTTTTCCGGAAGACATTTCACTTTATTTGTTTCATCAATATTTAAAACATATAGCTCCACAGTTCTTTCGTGCCAAAAACACATGTATAAATGCATGAATATGTTTCACCAATAAAATATAATGTTTTGAAATATACATTTTTATATTTATACAAGTACAATATATATTAGAAATGTTATATTTCTGAAGAAAATACAAATGAAAATTTAACATTAAAATTGTTTTCCTTATAACAAGACTTTATAATATATTTTTATATAGTTAATTTATTTTTTATTATGTCATAGTATATTTATTTTACAATCTTATTCCTGCCAATATTAATTAAATCTAAGGGCGGTAGACATTTGCTTTTTGGTAAACTTCCCAATCAAAGTTTTTACCATTATATTCTTCTATAATTTGTTGGTTGGCTGCCGTCTTGTGGATTAACTTCAGTATATTGAAGCTCTGCGATTCTACTATTCCCTTTGTCTGTGTATCTGCAGCTATTCTTAACACTGATGAACAACGGCTCTATTGTTGCAATCACCGAGAGGGCTCACAATGGGCCTGGCTTGACCAGGATTCCAACCGGTGCTCACGGAATCTTGGGTAGGACGACTTAACCATTCAACTATTAGTTGTATATATAACAATTATTTATTGCATATTTTGTCATACTTCAAAGTTAAATATTTATTTTAAATAATAATTAGAGATGTAATTAAGATTTGTTAACATGAAAAATTACTTAAAAAATGTTTCATGTGATAATAATTATAAATTTTAATCAATATCAAATACATTTAGTAAATTTAAAAATAATTTACTATAATTTACTGATCATACATTTTTGATAATATGTTTTATTCAATGAAAGTGGGCAATCAAATAAGCTCTAATTGTAAAATTGGAATAGATTTACAACTGAAGGACGAGCGTGCAATCATCGATAAGTACCGAAGAAGGGATCTTCTCAATGGGTATTTTATACACTTGATTAATGAAATTGCTAATGCAGTTAGATTTACAATAAAGATTGAAAACTGAAAAAAAAACGGCGAAAGTATAATTATCTAATTGCCAGTTGTGGTTTAAGTAAACCGAACGAAGTTACCATGCGAATTAATTTGCTGCAGTAATAAATTAAACGAGTCTAAATGGTGTTGAATAAGGCTCGATTTCGTTCTCTCTCTCTCTGCCCATGTAAACGATCATTTTCTTCACCTAAATTTATCCCTCGTGAGTGAGTGGATCGATCCGCTCGTAATTTGATATCCAATTGCAAATACTGAAATACAATGAACACCATACGCTAATTCATTTACATTCGATCATAATTTTCGAGTATTCTTCGCGGCGATGGTTGCATGCGTCCTGTCAGTAAACGAAGGTCTCTTATTGGGACTATAAAATTTGCATGTACCGTTTTATAGGTTCTCATATTTTAAGCTATAATTTATGTAAATAGCAACATTTGATTGTATATGGTGTAAAAAAAACATTAATCGTTTTTAGTAATAAATGGAAAATTAAAAAAATATTTTGCTTCCTTACTTATATCGAGTTTAAATATTAATTAATATTACGAAATAAGAAAAACAATAACTAATTTAGTTTAGATACTTAACACCTTTTGGTAACTTTTTGTACTATTCAGTATAAACTAGACATATTAACTAAAAGTAATATATTGTTCTTACGTATCTTTAAATATACCTTGTATTTTGCCTGTAATCGGTCCCATCAATATTTTGAACTGTTTGAAACCGGACTAATCGAGGAACTAAAAACATACAACACACAAATAGAAATTTGACTATATAAATAAAAAGAAACTAATCATTTATTTATGAAAAAAAAACAATTTTATTTACTAATTTTCATTTTACTCAATTAAAATTTAGTTTGATTTGAAATTTTTATACGGGATAGTATAGAGAATTTATTGACAAAAAAAAATGTAATTGATGTATTTATAAAATAGTATATTTAAAACTGAAATATTTAAACGTTTAGGGTCATGACCCACTTGGCGTAGTAAAGAACTTCGATAAAAGTGCATTAAAATAAAAATTGGCACCACCTAAATGTTACAAATAAGTATAATGTCTGTATGTGCCTTGAAAATATAAACTATATTTTCAATCGATAAAACAATGTTTAAATTATTTACTACACGTTAAAAAGTTTCTCTTCTAGTTTTAAGATATGATGCTCTGTAAAATCATCTAGAATCTAGTGCGGTAATTTGAATTAATTAAATAATTTTTTAATGAAATGCAAGGCTCAACAAAAAAAAGTTTAAGTGCACCGTGTAAGTTTAAATATAGGTTCAATTATATAGCCTCGATATAAAACAGGTTGAAAAACACTTGAAAATTTGTAAAAAGGTATAATATTTCAATTTTAGCTTTTGCCAAATAAATTCATCATCTTAATTAAATAGGAATTAACATAACTAAAAGATTGTCTACCTTAAGCCCCAATTTCGTTCCAACGACTTGAATATTGTTTTCTCTTATAATCAAATTCCTTATTTGGAAATTAAAATATTTATTTCATTTGCATATAGTTCAATTCCTTGTTGTTTTGTATAATTATTTGTATGTTGTAATATAATTGAAAACAGTCATTGGTTTCAACACATTCAAACAATGACAAGTAAAGTATCAATGTATACTACTTGTATACTGGGGTATACGTGCCCAAATAAAGTAACAAGTAATGTATACAGAAGTACTTGTTCAAATATATAAATTTGCCATGATCTTAGTTGGCTTAAATAAATATTGTATTTTCAGACAATCAAATAGATTGATTATAAAACGCTATCAAATTTTATGCTATAAAAACTGTTTAATTGTAATTTTAATGTCTATTTGAGTAAAAAGACCCACTTTATAGTGAAAAGTAAACAGTTTATTTTTATTAACTGATAAATTGAAAATAAGAACCTGACAAATTGTCCGGAACTGGTAGCAAGGACGATGTCAGTGCTGCCTGCACCGATCATTACGTAGCAATGCGACTTGTGTCGGAATTTTCGTGGGGTCATGAATAATAACGTCGGCATAACGTTCTGGGTTTCTTTTCGTTGCAGGATATGGTGATATAGTACCTATGACGACGGAGGGAAGGGCGTTCTGCATAGTGTTCGCCTTGGTCGGCATCCCATTAACCCTGACCGTGATTGCGGATTGGGGTCGGCTCTTCGCAACGACCGTGTCCACGCTCATGAGTCATCTACCATCCGTACCGAAGATGTGCAAGTGAGTTGTTTCCGGTTTCCACTTTTTTTTATATTTAAAAACAAAACAGACAAACAATGACCATCCGCGCCTTCAGGCCGGACTTTAATTAGGTTGATAAACATATGTTTTTCCCTAGTTTCGTGTGTCATGATGTGTGAGTGTGTTTTAAGGCGAGCCGCCCCTCACGTTTTTCATACATATACGTGTGTTGTTGCTTGCTACGAACCGGCAAACCGGAAGTTACCAAAGGCGGAAGAAAAATCTCCCATTACGTGACGTACAACAACGAACGTATTGCATCGTAAATAATAATATAATTAACTTTAACGATTCGCATACTTCATTAAAAAATACATCCATAATAAAAACATATCTAGCGGATATATTCAAGTATATAATAAAAATGTACGTTGAATATTACAATTTTTTGGAACATATATCATTCGCATGAACGTACAATTACATCAGAACTACCAAAATAATCATGCGTACATGATATCGAACGTTTGTAAAAAAAGTACGATTCATTCAAACGTGAAAACTTTTGATTTATTAAGTTATGTATATTTAAACTAATTACTAAGAAAATTTGGGGAAAACAACGTTTATAGTTGTAATTCACTATACAATTAATAAATTAATCATATATCTAATGAACGTCTTACAGTGATTATTCTGGCAAATTAAAAATAATTGAGCATAATTATAAAAGTATATAATTAAGAAAATTGATCAATTTATGCAAATAACTAAATATAATTACATTTAAGTTATAACATATGACAAACATGTATGTATTATAGAGCAAGATCATGTAGATATTTATATAGTAATATATTTCAAATAAAAAAGAAAATTGTTAACAAAATCTTCAACTTAGCCATTTCCATCAAAATTAGCTATTATTTTATACTCACAAATTATATTTTTTTCAAACAACATATTTTTTGACATTTGTTACTTTATACCTCAGAGACTAGTTAATCAATAAGATTATTACCATTATTTTCCGATAAAAGAACTATGCCGTATTTCAAAAAAGATGGTCTGTGTTTGTAAGTGAGTGGAGGTTGCATACTCTTTTCCTTTTTTGAATATACATGTTATCCATGTTAAGTAGTGAAGGATTCCGTGTTGCATTTTTCCACTGTTGAAATTGGGGAAAATGGATGTGAGGAAATTGTTGTAGTACTACATCGTCGCCCTGTTTTGTTCCACATCCTTGGACGCAACAGATTATGTCTATTCTAATATAAACGTACATTAATAGTATAATTTACAATATTAGAAAAAAATATATATTTCTACAAATAACACTTACTTGCTACTGTTCTCTTCAATATGGAAAATTAGACTAAATCTTTAACTTCGTATGTCTAAATTGGTCGAAAACAAGTCAACATTTTTTTTTCAATAAGAAATTAAAAAAAAAACACTATCACCAGCACACTTCCATCAAAGTTTTATTAATTCAAAACAAAAATTTGAAATAGTTCCGAATGATATCGAGTTATTCCGAATTCAAACATACATTTAATTTTAAACTGATTTAAAAATCTAATTTCACACAGTCATAATGAAGATTTTATCCAATTTAATATTTTACTTTTACCTTTATATTAAAAAAAACAAAATACTCTTCTTCAAATGATTGACAAACCTTTTCTATCTAATCTAATTATTAGGTATTTAGAGAGAACGTTCATTTGTGTCTTACTGAATAAAAAATGTAATGTAATCAGCAGACACAAATGATCAAAATAATTAATGATTTTTTATAGAATGTAATTACCAATTTATTTAAAATAAGTCTTATGTTCTGTTACTTTATTTTTTTTATATTATCAACATTTTAACTATTAGCAATAATAAATAATGTACATTATTTCTAAAAATATCTGTTTGAAATTACTTCTTTAAAAAAAATGGTATATGTAAGCTTTGCTCCTAATTCATTACGTTTAACATTCCACAACTCCGCTCGCTTTACGCTCATTTATCAACTGTCGTTTAATTTGTAACTCCGAGGTACAAATCCTCTTGAGTTAGAGTAGAGATTGCAATAAATTCTCAACTTATTTCATTCACGTACTTTATTAACGTTATTTTTATAAATTAATATTGATAATAAATTACATTTAATTATTATCATTATAGATCAGTGATTTTCAAAGGTCGCAGAAAAATTAAAGACAGATGGTAAGGTATGTTTTTCTAGATTTTTCTACACATACCCTGGGGTCCTTGAAATTTTTTAAGTGGAAAAGCGGATCAAAAAGTTAGAGAATCACCGGTATAGATAAATATAACCAAAGGAACAACAAGACATTGTAATAAATACAGGTAAACGTCGTTTTGCGCCGGTTCGATTTACGCCGCTGCGAAATAACACTTATTAATTGCTGATTTTACACTTATATAGAACTAAACCTTATAGTTACCTCACTATAAATAATAGTTCATTTTACGGCGATTCGATTTGCGACGGCTTTTGTAGGAACGGAACTGCGGCGTAAAACGACGGCTACCTGTATATGTATTATGAGATATTCTAATCATCAGTTTCATTAAATATATGTGTTATAATCAATCTATCATTAAAAAAAATAGCAAAAGATCACATCTCATTTGTTCACAATGAACATTTATTTACTTTTCCATGAAGAACAAATAAAAAATGGAATTATTACAAAGAGAAATTTCATATTTTTAAAAATATGAATAAACATTGCATTCAATACAAAATATAATTTAATTTAATTAATGCATCAGGATATACTTGACAAATTGACCTCGCGAGATACACACGTTATAGTTAGTTTAATTAATTGTATATATAAAAAAACACAGCACGAAATAATGTATGTATATTTTGAGTTGCACTCGTGCTGAATTCATTCACTGCTTTCAAGGCGACATCAGCAAGGCGTCCAACGTTTCATAAAGTTGGATTAATTAGAGTTCCTGCAACTTTATAGGTGGACTATAACAATGCTTCGCGAAATATACAACGTGGTCTGCAACATAATGTCTCTCCCGGACGACCAGAAACTTCTCAGCTCTTAGAAAACGAAAGTTCTCTGCCCTTCCCATAAGAAACACGTCGGAGCAATGGTTTGGAATAAGTCCATAGATTCGTTCAAACAATCTTAACAGAAAAACAAAAGATTTTAAAGTAATTAAAGGAACGTCGCTGTACTTAATTTATTTAATTATTTCAATTTAGTAAAATCTAATTATCTCTAATTATCTATTCTAGTGAACATTTATCACGTTTGAATATAATATTGGTTTATTTATTCTTTACTTAAATCTAAATTGAAGATCCAAGGGCTTGCAGCGCTCTAATCTTCTTGTTGTGACGCTATTGTCGAGATGGTTGACGAATCAAGCCTGTTCGTGTATTTTTTGGAGGAAACTTTGGCAAACTCTTGCACTGTTTTTATTCCAAGGTCCTGGTGCAGTCTCTTATTGGTGATGTACAATGGTGCACCCGCGATTCTTCTAATACATTTATATGGAATACTTTTTTTTAATTAGTTGCGAACTGCGAATTTGGGGGCAGTAGCCAATACATCTTTCTAAATTTTATTTCTAGTTGTTCACGCTTTACCTTGATATGATCCTTCCAATTTGATAAAAACTTTCGATCTTTTAGGTAGGAATTCAACACTTCATAAATATTATGTGGAAGTTGCATTTTCAGCTTGTAGAGTAAACCTGTATACCAAACTTTATCGAAAGCTTCTGACACATCGAGGAATACAGCTGAACAGTATCTCATCCAAAGCTAGATTAGCTCTAATGGATTATTTATTTAAATTGTTTTTTATCTTTGATAATTATCAACTTTTTTAAAGTATAATTATATTTTTATAGTAGTTCATTTATTATTAATATTGGTATATCCCAACCAATTAAAAAGATGATAAAAATATTTATTTTATACAGAAAAGGTAAACTTTCAGAGGAGTTTGAGATTTATTCTTGATTTTATAAAACTTTTTCAAATAATTACAGTATATAATATTTTATTTCATACATTTTATGAACTGAATTAATATACGATATGTTCACTATGAAATAAAGTAATACTCGAGCAATGAAAAGTACGAATTAAAACCTAGTAATAAAAAGTAATGAAAGTTATAAAACGAACGTTAACAAAGAAATAATAAAGCAAATGTTGGTTGTAATTAAAATACTAAAGAACTAAAGTAAATAATAAAAATATGTAATCTAAATTGTATACGTAATCCACATTTTCACTGCGATTCAACAGGTCAATCATTATCAATCATAAAAACTCTATAGATCCATGTAATCTGATGGAAGTTACGTAAGGTCCCAGCGTAAGTAGGAAATATTAGTATGCTAAATTGTATTTTTGTGTGTTTTTATTTTGCGTATTTTACGACTCGCATTTGAAATGTACGCTAATCTACACGTCGGACCGTATAAATTTGACAGGTGTCAAAATGCTGTCACGCAACTGGGTTTTATACGTTTGTGCAAATGATTCGTAATCCGCACGATCTCTGGAATTAAATCACGCAGCCTCGACAACAATTAACAAATAATCCAAAATGCGAACTGAAAAAGGGTTCAAACGATGACCTATGAGTATAATCATGTTTGCTGAACATCCAGGTGCACTGGAATTTGCATAACGAAACTTGTTTTATAATGTAGCCCTGTAACGCGACATCTGCAGCACAAACATTTGCGGTTGTTTGCAGTTTAGATGGTAACATTAATAACTACGAATATTGGTTTCTATGAATTTGGCAATAAATCAGTTCTATTGGTGAATTACTTTATGTTTTGCCCGACAACCGAACAATCAAATTTCCGACGTTCGAAATCCCGACGTTTAAAATGCCGACCTAATCGAAATCCCGACTGTATCAAAATCCCGACTATATCGAAAATGTTTACAATAACATTTTTAAATTATTCCGGAGTGTAGTGACTTTTAAATGTAATGTTAAGGTTTATTATGAATAATTCAACAAAAT